TGTATATACTATTAAATTTAATAATTATTAAAATTTATTAATCAGTTCAAATATTAAAGATAAGAGTTTTGAACTGTAATACTAATAACTTATTTTCATATTTTTAAGAATAAAAATAGATAAGTTTTCCTGTTTATTTTTGTTTTATCTAGTTAAAGAGGAATTTTCTTAAATTAGCTACAAAATATATGAATGATCATGTATCCTAAATTTTATTAATAGCGAATTTGTAAAAAGCTAGTGCCCATTTTGAACTTTGATTCCACTAATCATGATCTATTTAATGAACAATTAATTTTTCAATGTTATTGTCAACAGTAACTATTTGACTTCACTCATTTATTAAATTTCAAATTAAAATTAATGTAGATTATGAACTTACCATACTTTTATCACCTCATATTTTTATTACCAAAGTTTTATCACCTCATTGTCCACCACCCCTATTAACCTAATTACTTACTGTAGTGACTTCAACTTTGCTCATAAGTTTGTGGTAGAAAAATAAGAATGCTCATTTACATGTGTCATTCATTGATAGTTGGACAATAGAATATACCATATAAACATTATCATTATTAGTGACTCATAAAATACATGAGAATTCATCAGCAACATTGTCCAAAAATCGAGAAAATCACATATGTACTAAAACATATTTTATTTTATTTTACTTTCCAAGATTTTATTTAGTACTCTCAAATATTCAATTATTAAAAATGTGAAATACACTCAATGAATCTTATGATTTATCTATGGCAATTCAATAAAACCTCATCAATATAAACTTCACTTCAGAGTGGTACTGGGTTTTAGAAATTGTTAAATGCCCACTATATATTTCTGATTTACCACGGTGCATGAATATAATTTATTTTTAAATTTCAATAACTAACTGTTATTCTGGTAAGTCAAATTACCAATGTCCTCAGTCAAACATTATTTCTATCTACTAATTAAAAATTACGATTATTTATTATAGCAAGTAATATCAAAGTGTTGTTATTTGCTAATAACAAACTAAATGTGTTTTCTTTTAACTAAACATGCCTTCAATTTTGAATATTTGAAACACTAAATCAATGTACACAAGTACATTTTTCTCATAAAAATTTAACATTGCCAATTATTATGCCTTTATATCACTTACAATGGAATTTGCATACAATTTTTCATTTATGATTTGTGCTGCGAAAGGAATTTCATTAAATATATTACGTATTGATATTATTAGCAATAATTTTATTTTACTTTTCATGTCTTTCATTGACTCGTATTGTAATTTTAATTTATGTTTTCGTGGGTCTGTCTTTTGAGAACACCATTAATTTTGTTACATTTTTTTATATTTTATTTTTTTATTTTTATGTTACATATACTATACTTGATTTCTTGTAAAGACTAAAAAGTATTTTTCTAAGATAAGAACACGAAATTGTGCATTGTCGACAAAATTAAGGAATTTTGCAGACAATACAATAAGCATATATAGTACAGAAGTCTAACTTTATAGTGTGTAACTTGTCTAAAATTATAATTTGATTCTTTACATTTTTCTTTTGGATTAATCGAAGTTTAGTTTGACAATAATAGGAAAAACCCATCAACCTGCTTTATTCTGCAATTTTACATTACTACTCAGAATATCCTTTTAATTTTAAATTAAGGAATAATTTATTTTCTTGCTCATTTCTTTTTACACTCAAGCTCAATGTGGTATGATTTTTTTGAAATTTGATTATTGTGTAATTATTTGGCTATCAAAAATCCATGTTTCTTATATTTATGCATGATAATTGACATTGATTGGATTAAATGTAAGTCATGACAAAAGCTATGCTCACTTCTTCCAACTATAGTATCTATACTTTTTTTCTATATAAGTTGATTGTGACTTTAAAATATTTAATACTAAAAATTTCACAAATAAATTAGAAGACGGTAATAAAATACCTGTCTCATCAAATGAATGTTTTTGCAAAGAATATTGATATTTTTTCTTCCCTTTTTAAAAATAAATTATTAAATAAATAAATATATTAGTTTGAAAATGGATAGTCCACAATCTATAGAATATAGCAATATTTTATGCAAAGTAGGATAAGCTATTTGTTTCTTAAATTGAATATTTATATCAAATCAACAGATTTATCAAATTATTAAGAACATAAATGTGCATAGAACACTAAAAGAAAATTTATTCTTATGTAACTCAAAAAGAAAACATAAACAAAGAAGAAATGATAATCGCTTTTTCAATGTTGATTATGAGTTATAATGGCTGCCCTCATTGTAATGACACGTAATGTTTGTACTTTCAGATTTATTTTGGCCTTTTCCCTTGGTGCTGGACCAGTACCTGGACCTCTGCTGCCTGAAATCTTCGGTGCTCGCATCCGTGCCAAAGCTGTTGCATTGTCTCTTGGTGTGCACTGGGTAAGTTAAATGGTTTATATCTTATTGTGTCTTGTTTTAAATGCACATCTACTTTATTTGTATGGATCCAATTTCGGTGTACATCACTTTTATTTATACGTTTCGGACTCATTAAAGCTCTAATGTGCTCGACTGATTCTTACGCAGTGGCTGTCTAACACAGATATGCAATTTCATGATTGGACTATTTTTCTTGAACGTCGTACAGAAATTCGGCGTGAGTACCAGATATCTCTTTGTTTCTGCAATGTGCGCAGCAGAAGTTGCCTACGTGAGCAGCAATGTGATTGAAACCAAGGGACGGTCACTAGAAGACATCGAACGCGAACTTAACCCTGCTGTATAGTAGCATCGGTTGATAACACCTGTTTCTTTTGAAATGTTGAACATTAGTTGTTGATGGAACAAATCCCTCCTGAACTAGCGGGCTAAATATCAGCTACATGAATTGTTGGCAACGACATATCTAGATTTTGTCAGCTCCTAGCACGCAACGTTAAAACCAAATTCTCCAGGATTGGCGACTCAAGGACGCAAGAGGTGGTTGCGCAACCCTGGGTGCCCTTTGTGAGGACGATGTGAACAATTAACATCCTAGGTTCGAGCACTAGAAGTGTGACTACATGATTTATTCGACGTGACGGCGATTGCTACGGCTTTCTAGTTTGAGTGGCTTGGGCTGATTCAGGAGCAGGCATGTGTTTAAGGTTTGGTTCCTCGTACGCTTGTGTAAGTTATTGCAAACGGCTGTAGTAGCAGAGATTTACTTGAATCTATTTCCAGCCATTCTCAATTTCCTCGTTGTGCATCACATGACTCAGAGTTCGGCAAGTCTACAAATTCAAGGAATACCACAAGAATGGCTCTTCCAGAACAAAAGTGGAACTTTGATTATCTCCGCGTAAGGGCTACTGAACGAAAAATGTTTACTCCACAATCTTGGGTTTAAGGTCTATCACGAAATTGTGGTAACCTTGGTGTAGATCAGATTGCAATGTGGAATTTTCCTCACAAAAAAGGCATTCAATGTGCTATATATGTGCTCTCATTTCTATTCTCTTCACTACATAACTGACATTCATGTTTAATCGCTCGACTGGTTCTATGACCTTGAATGATGTTCATATGTCAATATATATGAAATTTTCCTCAATGGTGTCCAGTATATCAATGCTCTCTTCATTAACAAAGTAACATGCTGATTAGATGCTTGGTTTGAAAAGCATACTCTCACACATTATAATAAGAGTCGTAACCCAATGTGCCAAAATCCTTCAAGTGATATTGCTTCTAGATACAAGTCAAATTCTTTTTTTTTCCTGCGTTGTTTCTTGTATGTTGCTGACATCATTTAAAAAAACATTAAGACATCCCTTAATCTATAATAAGGTCTTTTATCTCATTATTAATAACAAGTAATTATATGCATATATATAGTTATATGATTATTTTTTACATTTTTGGATGTGATTAAAGATATGTTCATTCTTAAACTAATAAATTAAATATAGACATACATAGTATTTCACACATGTATATATATATATATATATTAAAAATACCAAGTTTAGCTCATATTAGTACTCTTGCATTGTATTAGCTTCTATCAATTATTAATATATATATATATATATATATACATACATACATACATATAAAGAGAAAAAAAATAGAAAAAACTAGATACAATTTGAATCTTAGTATATCTTAGTAATTTTTATACATAATAATACATGTGTTTTACCAATATATATATATATATATATATATATATATATATGATCTTTATGTAGGTAACATACATATATTTTTAAAATATATCTTAATATAACTTAGTATATCTTTTCAAAATTTTAGATAAAGATTACACATTCTTATGTATATCAAAGTCAAAAATAACTAAAAGACTTTAATTATACAATACAAATAAATATTTTTGGAATAACCTCATGTGCTTCGGATTTTGAATTTTTTTAAAAAATATTCAACATTTAATAAATGTTATCTCAAGTTGTTGCTACAAGTTGTTTCTCTACTTCCAAATTAATGTGAAAAAAAGAAATTAGAATAAAGTCAAGATGCAAAAGCAGCATTTTGTGGTTTAAAAATGGTTTTCACTTCTACTTCTATTTTATGTCATCTAGATTTTTTTCAATCCATTTGTTTATCGTAGAAACATTTCCATCAAATTTTACATTAGGTGTAGTTCTATCAGAACTTTATCAAAATAAGAGTTTAGAATGATTATTTTCAAAATAATAAAATAACAAATTTTTAATTTTTGATTATGCATAAAAAAAACTCTACTACAAAATTTGATCTAAAATTAAATATTTTAAAAGTATTTGACGCTGCAGTTTGTGTTGTTTTTGAAGATTTTTTGAATATGAAATGGTTTATTTAACAGTAAGAAGTAATATATAAAATAAACCTATCTATTTATATTAATATCTATATTTAGTTATTTATAAAATAAAATAATATCCAAGAATGTTTTAGCCATACACAAGCAAATCATAGAGACGACGAAATCCAAAAGGAGAAGAGATAGGTTAAGACCAACATTAGAAGTAAACACTACGTTCAGATTCAATAAAAAGAAGAGACAGGGAGAATGTGTAAAGCTGTGAAAGCTAACTGGATTCTGGTCAAAGTGATTACAGGACTAGTTTCAAATGGAATCACAGTTGTAACATTGCCAACAGAAGTATCAACATGGATCGCTGAACACATCAAGCTATAACCTACTCCAACAAACACATTGAGTAAACTTTTGCTGAAGTTCCGAACCGAGCTCAGGTACTTCATACGCAGCAGCATGCACAGGCAAATCGAACTCAGAATCCTCGTCATGGAGGTCGGGGTGGTGGGTCAATGGCGGGTGCAACAGCAGCAGCATTGGCCTGGTGGAGCTCAACTTCTACCCGAACTTCAGGCGCATGTTGACGAGGCGCTGGAGGGCCTCCGTAGAAGAGATTGTCGATCTCATCAGGCTGGAAGGTCAAACTGGGTTCTAGGAAGAGAACTGATCGCAGCGGACTTGAGCTCATTGTGGCGGATCAACCCTGCAGTTCACGTTGCATGTGCAGCTCTCCAAGCTTGCCCAATACTGGTGCAACCCCAACTCACTAAACTGAAGATCTGCTAAATCAACTAGGATACATGAACCCCGTGCAGGTCTGCCGCAACGAACTCGAATCCGGGGGGAGGGACTTCCGCCAGGGTTCGAAGCTTCAGCTCACACACTTACACTGCTGCAAGTGTTTGCGGGCATGACAAAGAGGAGAGGCGTTTCTCAAAGTCTTGACAATCATTACTTACACCATAAACTCTATCAGCATAAGGCTCTGATTTCTAGCGTACGACACCAAGGACCTCAAAGCGACCACCCCTTTTGTCTCTTCAGCGGTCGTGAGAGGGCTCTTCAGCTGTGGTCAACGGTGTCTCAAAAAGGCCTCCTACGTTCTCTCTCTTCGGCTATGGTCATTGGGGACTCAAAGCGGCCTGGTGCAATCTCTCCTCTTCGGCTGTGATCAACGGTGTCTCAAAAAGGCCTCCTGTGTTCACTCCACTTCGGCTACGGTCTTCGGGGACTCAAAGCGGCCTGATGCGATTTCTCCCCTTAACATTTGATAAGAGGGTCAATGTGGGCCTTATGCGATCTCTTTTCTGCAGCTGTCTTCAACAGAGTCTCAAAGCGGCCTGATGCGATTTTTCCTCGGGTGTAGTCAACGTGGTCTCAAGTAGGCCTCCGGTTACGGTCATCAGGGACTCAAAGCGACCGGGTGCGTTCTCTCCTCTTAACATTTGATCAGAGGGTCAAAGCGGGGTCTCAAAAAGGCCTTCGGAAATCTCTCCTAGTCAGCTTTTGGTCAGAGGGCTCTGAAACTGTAGTAAGAGGGATTTGCAGCTGTGGTAAAAACCCTTGAGCATGGAACTCTGTTCACACAGAACACCTCTGCATTACAAGGGTAAGGAGTGGCTTTTCAGAATGCTTGAGTATTATGGTATCACAATCAAAAAGTTGCCTCAATCAGATGGGGGAGCCAGAGCTTGACGAATCCCCAGATAAAAGACTGGTAAAAGTCCCATTTTTTCAAATCTATGTAAACTGTGAAGGGGGATGGGTCATCGCAGAGTAGAACAAAAACCACATTGACCCGATCCTAGTGCCATAAATTACAGGAGGTGCTAACTGCTAGCCTTAAGCAAACAGCCTCGGTTGTGGATTATGAGGATTCCCCACTCTTGAGCCACACATTGGGGGCCACGTACGTGTAACCCCGAAAGAAATCACGGTCACCAGACTTGGGTGTCCCGACTGGAGAATCATCGAGAGGCAACGTTGTCCACGCCTCATCAAAGTTCGCAGTACACTGCTTGCCATTAACGGCAGGAAGGAACTTAGGAGTTACTTGGCGTGCTTCAAGCTTGCGCCAATTAATACCTTTAAACCACTTGTTCTGCTTAATATCCTCGCTCCCAGTGGGTCCATTCCCTAGTCGCTTACTAGGATCTTTCTGCAAAAGCTACAAACCCATCCCGAAAATGTGTAATTCCATGTTAGCACCCATAAACATCCCAGAATTAGAATGCACTACGAGTCCGTACTCGAAGTGCTGCCAATACACTTAAACTGTCTCCGAGATATTGTGCACACCACCAGATGGAAATTGGTAAAAACGAGATCGATCTTGCTTAAAAAGACCATAACCTTGAAAATGAATATGCTTACCCCTTTCAGCAGGTTATTTGCATCCGCAGTCAAGTACGTTGGTAACTTGATCTTGTCTTTGATGATCTTCTGCTGCAGCTTCTGCTTGTTTTTATGTGCAAATGGAGGCTGTATTCATCCACTCTGGCTCATTAGTTCATTTCTCCGTTGTTTGATAAAGTAGGATTCTGGATATTTAATGAAGACGCAACGATTATTCGCATTCTTCTCTATCCAAATATTTATAACCATTCTAATTCAAAAAGTCGTGGTAGAATGCAGTACCTGACCAGTGAGCATCTCATAAAGTAAGATACCAACACTCCACCAATCAGCTGGTTTACCATGTCCTTTTGAGAGAATGATCTCAGGTGCCATATATTCCATTGTACCACAAAGGGAGTTTGAATGACTATCTTCCTTCACCTCCTTAGCTAGCCCAAAGTCGGTAAGCATAACCTGGAAAAAAAAATTGGTAAAATACTTCAGTGTAATTTTCCAATGAAAGAAACAAATGATTGAACACGAAGCATCAAATCTCTAGTCCTTCTTTAAAGATCAGTGATATGAAAAACTGCTTACAAGCTACACCGAAAATCATAGACACTAAGAACAAGCGTACAAGATTTGAGTAGTCACGTACATAGCCGTCGCCATCGAGAAGAATGTTTTCAGGTTTCAGGTCTCGATGAATGATTCCATTCTTATGGAGGTGTGCAACAGCCAGCACTATCTCCGCAGTATACATGCGGGCCAAATCCTCGCTGAATAACAAAGCACCATGTAGGTTCAATTGAAAATGCTCCCAACTACTCAAAAGATCAAATAATTTCATGTACTAATGTACTAGAATCATACTTATAACACAAGACTAAGACACATAGACCACCAAAGAGCAACAATTCGGTTGTATGAATGAACTTCAATATTACAATCACATACAAGCAGGAAAACAACAAAATCACAGAAAAGCAAGGTCAAGGACCAGCCAGGCACTCACTTGAAGGTGCCTTGACGATACAGTTGAAAGAAAAGATGTCCACCATTAATAAAGTCAAGAACCAAGTAAAGTTTGGACTGTGTCTGCACCCAGAACGAAATTTGGTATATCAATCCAGATATTCTATTCATGATTTTGAAACTGATGTTGTGATGCCGTAAAACGCAATCCTCATCCTAATAACTACCAAATTCATGCAGCAATTACATGCCACAAGTGGTGACTATTCAAAACAAGGCAGCAGCAGACTAATATGTGCATCACTTCAACTGAACTTTGAAAAGTAGGACCATCCAAGACGTAATATCAGAAAAATTCCGACCTGAAACGAGTATTGCAGCTGTACAATAAAGGGATGAACCACTTTAGTGAGGATGTCCCTTTCTGCCTTCATATAGTCCCCATGGTTTCGCTCTATGATCTTTTCCTTTCTCATAACCTTCATAGCGTAAATTTCTGAGGTGCCCTTCTTTTGAACCTGAAATACTTTACCAAATGCACCCTGACCAACGACTCTAAGGAGTTCAAAATCCTGAGGACCCAACTTCTCCGTTCCGATACCATTCACAAAATCCTTCTGCAAATGATTGTCACCTTCTAGCTCACTTCCACTGCCCCCGGAATCACTAAGTGCTTGCTCTGTCACCTTGGATGTGAGTTCACCAACCTCATGAACAGTAGGAGAATCACTCGCAACCCTGACAAGTGAGAGAGAGTCTTGCTCGTCCCACACGGGTTTGCTCTGTAATCTCGTTAAGCTGGGTTTTGGAGATGGTCCAACCAGAGAATGAGATCGAGAATAGACAACCACAGGATCTTGGCGAAGCTCAAGGCTCCAGTCAATTGTCTCCCCATCCTCAGCAACAGCGGGCAGCGGGGAAGTAGGATGAGGTGGTACAGGCCCAAAGACGTCAGAAAAATCAAACTCTTCATTGCACTGGTCAGGATAATATGCAGTATGTACCATCGGCACAAGAAGTGGAGAAACTTGTGACGCTGCAGGCATTTTCTGTTTCCCTGCCGCCATATCCCTGAGGTAGAAAAATGAAAACTTATTAACACTCCGCACAACTGGAAACTCGAGCAAACACGAAAAGTTAAGTTTGGAGGATTAAAAGGATTCGTCTCTCATAACTCAGGTATTATTACTTCTAGCAATTGAAACACAAGGGTCCACACTATCTAACCGTAACTAGGGTAAGTGAGATTTCGTTTAAAGAAACCCCAAGTTCGGAATAAATAAATGGTTTTAGATGCCAATCGTATTCTTAGACTAAAGCTATCGTACTTGTAGCATTATCATTTCAAACTTTTTGTAAGTTATTTTGCTGATAGCTCAAAAGGTGAAGGAACATAAAAAGGGAAATACAAATTTATCTGGCTATGACCTAATCTCTCTTGAAATCCACGTAACCCTTCCAGCGGGACATGTTCAAACTGAGAAAAAAAATATATAAAAAAGAAAGAAAGATAGAATCATAAAAATCATAATAAAAGAAGGTGAAAAACTTGTACTCATTTCATGATCCAGTAGAGGCAAGAAAACTTCATGTTGGAAAATGGTAGCTTCAAACCCAAACCGAGACAAAGTTCCATAGGGACTAACTGTGAAAGATTAACTCAAAGAAATCGGCAAGATTCCGTAGCTTTGCAATGAAGACAAACTCGTCTAAATAGCCTAACAAAAAAATAATAATAATCACGGAGAAGTTTACCAGCGTTCATGACTGACAACTAATTGGATGCATCTGTAAGACGTGCTAAGAACAAAGCATCTAAAAAACTAGTAGCGTCTTCCTTTGCGAAAAGGTATAAAATAAAAGCGAGGAATAAGAAACTATCCAGGACCATTTAGTTTGGACATGAAACAACCTACTAGAAATATAGGGTACTCATGTCGATACCAAAACCTACATAGCCTCGGCAATTTATTTCGTCAAGCCTGAATACGATTGTAAAAGCATCTAGGCAAAAATTAGAAGCACAAGAGTGAATGAAATGAAAGACAAACCTGAAAGTGGTAGCAAGTGTCATTCTGAAGACAAGGACCACAACTTGATAAAAGCGCTGGATAAGCCTGCCGACTTCCGAAAACAGAATTCGTTGAAGACAATCTCTAAGCGGAAAATGGCAAGCGAAAAAGTACTAGTACAGCACGTCCGAGGACGGCCACAAAAAGGCCCAGGGTTACATCGTGCTGGCTATGGCGACCACATATACCGTATAAATTACTTTCCTCCAAAACAAAATAAAATTCAGACCATCAAACTCCTCTGTATCTAGTTCGCCGAAATAAGTTTCACTATCACTTTAGACCAGCCCTGATAACCGATGACAGCCCCAACACACTCCCGATGAAAAACTATGAGATAACCTGCGGCAACACGAAAATGTCGAGATCGTTACTTAGACAACAGAGAATGAAAATAAACCTAATCAAGAAAAAGGTGAACTAAACCAAAACTTCGAGTTCCAAAGAAAAACAAAAGAAAATGATCACACTTAAACACTCCGACAAGTGTCTTATTGCGAACGCCTACAAGCTTCCTCGAAAGAAAGAAAGGCGTCTTGTTGACCAATAAAAACTAGAGACTTCACAGCAAACAAATTAAACTACGAGAGCAATAGAACGTCTTAGCAAAACCTAACAAAACCTCACAGCCCATCGCTAGCACGCTTCACATCAAAAATAGAATAAAGTAGAATCTCTGCACACATCGACGCCCTCACCCACTACCATGAATAACAAACACCAACATGCTCCACGGAAACCAGATCGTTGACCCCAACAGGCTTCAATTGCATCCTTATTTTCCGCTCCCGGAATGCAAACAACAGCAGACTCCGCAACAGCTCAGAGTTTGCGCTGCTACATCAAACAAGCCTACGGAGCTCTCAAAGGGAATTAGTGACGTAAGGTGTGCACGTTCGCACACACTCGGATGATGATGATGATAGCGGACTACGTAAGTCGCCTCAAACTATGCGGGCGTCGCTTCTTGTCGCCGCGCGCTCGCTTGACTGGTCTTCAACCTGGTCCGCATCCACACGAGAAAGATGGTCCCAAATCACGCAAAATTCCGCGCGGAATGTGACGATTGCAAATGACACGTCCAAATGCAGTGTCCCGTGATATACGTGGCGATGAGCAAATAGGTTGGGAGGGCTTGACGTTTTGACCCTCGTTTACGGATGTGGACAAGTAATTGGCAGCTATTTAATTGTCAACAGAAGAGAACCTGCATTCATTGCACCATATTTTAAATGTAAATGAAATGTTTATAAATCTTATAATTTTAAAACCAAAATTAATTAGAAATTAGTGGGGCACTTTATCACTTTACTTAATAGCTTATAACAAGGCTATTTTACCGCCAATCTTTTGAAGAAGCTTGTAAGCTCTTAATTAGGTACCAATGTAGCTATTAGAAGTCTTAATAAATTTATAATTTAAATGAGATTTATTTAAGATGGTCTTTATATAATATGAGGAATCAAAGATATGAAACACAAAGAACCAAAGTATCAATACATTTTTGTATCACTAGAAAAGAGTAGATAATCTCTCAAAGTTGATATAATATTAAGTTTAGAATTGCTATTGGCAAAAACAAGAAGACTGGACATTCTTGAAACAAGACTAAGAACAAGAAAGGACTTGGCAAAAGTGAAGAAGGCTTCATTCTTGTTTCCATATATACTATATAATTAAGAACTACATGATGATCTATATGACCTCCAATATATATCTAACTTGCAAGACAAGTTTTTTACATATGTGCCATATGGCCAACATGTGCCACAAGTCACCAATAAGTACAATAGGTGGCCAATTATTAGCCAAGTTTTTAACCTATCAATCATCTACATACATGTATAGAGTCAAATTTGTATTTATAAAGTTTCTAAGAAACTTATCCACAAGATATTACCAAATTCACTTACTTCTATTTACTTCTATCAAATTTATTTAATTTAGATAAATATATATATGTCTATGTTATTATATCCTATTCCATTTATGAATACCACAAAGAGTGGTCATCACATTTTGAGAAAGTCTAAAATGCAACAAATTATATTTGCCACATATTCTAATCTTTGTCTCCTTCAAAGATAGTTAATAGGACTTCTTAGACATTAATAGTGTCTCATACCATGGCAAAAAGACCACGTGATTATTTGATTATTTTTGAGATTTTTATATCTTTCTTCAAATAAAAATTTAAAATACCATCAATAGTGGTTTTTACCTCTAATAATATCACCAAATATTAAGAATCTCTTCCAACATCTTGATACCAAACATATTATATCTTACCACATATTTAAGGAAGAACATGTTATTTTTGAAAATCTTCATTTCTATTATGTTGTCTTCAAGCTTGCAACAATCTTAATGCCTCATCTAATAATCTAATAAACTATAGCTTTTAAATTGAATTGGCTAATTATTAATTTTTATTTTTTACTACCAAAAATATATAAAAACCACAAAGAAAGATAAAAGATAGAATACAATCTTTATTGAATCTTATTTTTTCTATAAGAAGGAATTTTTTAACTCTCTATCTTAGTTTGACAAATGTTGTTTATGAAAAGTATTAATCTTATTTGTTACGTTTGTTAGAATTTTAGATGTCTTCCATGTGCATTTATTTATATTATATCTACACTAATATATAAGATATTTCAACCTATTTTTGAGTTGTTTTAAGTCTAAGACTTCTTTAATCTTAAGCTCTTCATTATTGTCTACTTTTATAAGAGAAGGTAGCATTTGTCTTCTTCCTTGTATATGTTATATCTTCTATAGCTCAGAAAGAAACACATGGAACATAGATTGGATCATTATAGATTATGATAGATATAATTGATAAGTAATTGAGTTGATCTATTTATAAATAAAAAATGGTTTAAGTATTTGATATTTCAACTAGTTACAAAGGTAATTAGTCTTGATATTACAACAAAGTAACCATATCTTATTATTAATGTAGGATTAAAGTTGTTTCTTGCGATAGGCATTCATATTGATTTTTTTTTCATTCTTGAGCTTTAATTAATTATGCTTTTATTTTTGCATGTAGATCTGATAAATAATTTGCTAAATCTTCTACTGCAAGATTATTAATTTTTGAAAAATAAAAAGCATTAAGTCATTGATAATAACCATAATTAATATAAAAAATAAATTTATTAAATAAAAAATATATTGTATTATTATATACAAACTCTGTCAATAACAAAAGAATTATCTAATTATCTTGATATTAATTGATAGTATATTTCAAATATTATTTCAAAACTTGAGTTATTTATTCTATTTGTCTATTATTTTGAAGATAAAATTTAAATAAATTAAGTTTCTATATTTAATATAATATCCATTAGCAATCCATAATAGTAATAAAAAAAATTAAAAATTAGTCATTTCTATACTTATGATAGATTTTGTATATGGTACAAAATATGCCATTTTAATAAAATAATCTACTATCACAAATATAGAGTCATATAAACTTCAGATTGAAAGATCCATGATAAAATTCATAAAAATAAAAGATCTTAGTTATTCAAGTTTAGGTAGTAGTTAGTAAAGTCTATAAGGTCAATGATAAGAAATTTTTTATTTTGAACAAAAATCACATGATTATATAAATTTTTAATTGTCTTCTATATTTAAAGCCACCAATAATCTCTTAATGGTAATTTCAAGGTATTATTGTATTCAAAATGTCTTGCAATTCGAATTTTGTGATAGCTTAAAGAACATGTAATTATACTTTACTTTCTAGAGCAGATAAGAATTTTTTAAAATAAAAAATATTATTCTTAAATTTAAATTAAGAAATATTATAAGATTTAAAAGATATATTTTTATTATCATGAATAAGAAGATTTAAAGACAAAATTAATTGAATTTGTTTAAAAAATTTTGAATCAATAATCATTGTTGATATTATAGCTCAAAGATGAAATTACTCTAACTCCAATAAAAATGTTTGTTGTTAATTGAAAGCTGGATCTACTTCTTTAGGTAGAAGATAAGATTGTTTAAAAATGATATTTGACAAATCTTATTATTTTTTTTTTATTGATCAGTAATCTTGAATACAAATCTTAACAAAGATATGTTTTAATGACCTTGGTGTCAATTCAAAACATGTGCTAATATAAAATATTTGGAATTCTTGAAATTTATATAAATAGTCATTAGATTAGAAGTGCCTTCCATATAATGGTGCCAATCTTGAAATAAATCTACAATTTAAAAAAATTATTTATTGAGGATCTTATAATTAATCTAGATCATTGAAATTAGTTTTAAAAAAAAACTACTAAATGAAGATTATTATCTATTTTTATTTGTAAAAATATCATACCAAAGGCAAAGCTTGATGTATTTCATTTTTGTAAAAAAATGGTTTGAATAGATTGATATAACATAAGATTAGTGCAAAAACCAAAAATTGTCTTAAAAGCTTTGAATGTTGCTTCAACTTCTTTATTCCACTTAAGTTTGTTATTATAAGTAAAATGTATAAATGGAGTTATAATTTTTATAAAAATATTTAATAAATATTTGATAATTATTGGTAAATTCCAAAAAAACATTAGACATTTTATATTGTTTTTAGAATCTTTCAAATCATGATAGTTTGAACTTTTTTAGGATCCTATATAAGGCCATTATTTAAAATAAAATATCTTAAGAAGTCAACTTAAGTTGTATAAAATAGTTACTTTTATACAATGTTGCATCTCTAAATTTTTATAATATATAATAAACATAAAATATATATTCTTTTATATTCTTAGAATAGATTAAAATATTTTTTAGATAATAAATAATAAAATAATATAAAAAATTTCAAAAAAATTAGTTATTAGATGTTGAAAAGTAGTTAGTTCATTCAAGAGTCCAAAGGCATGATATTATATTTGAAATGTCCATACCTGATTCAAAATATAATTTTTCATTCATTCCTTTTTTTTTAATGTGTATCAAGTTCTTTATTTTTTATAATTTATTTATTAATTTATTTATCATAAATATTTCTTTAATTGAGTTAATTTAAAATTTATAATATCAAAGATAGATGATATATATTTTTAATGATGATCTTCTTGGATCTTCAATAATCTACATGCACCCATAGTGATTTATTGTTCTTTTTCACCAACAAGATAAGAACTTATATTAGAGATTTTCAATGGCATAAGAAGTTTTTAGTCAAATTCTTAATAATATACTCTTTGAGTTATCATAGACATATATATTTACCTAAATAGTTACTTATATGATTAAGTAGAAGTAGGTAAAATAGAATAATTTCATAAAGTCTTCTAGAGAAGCTTTATAGATGCGGTTTTGACTTTAGATGTGTTTTTAGATTAGAAACTTGGCCAAAAAGCTAACCATGTATTGGTAGCTTGTGGAATAAGTTACCTCTGTATAGTAGCTTGCGGAACAAGCCAACTATGTGGCACATACATAGATAACTTGCCTTGCAAGATAAGACATGTGGCTAACAAAGTCAACACATGTTGGAGGTCCTATACGACATCGCGATGTGGCTCTTAGTTAGATAGTATATATAGAGGCAAGAATGAAGCCTTCTTCACTCTTGTCAACACCTTTCTAGTCTTAGTTTTGTTTCAAGACTTTCTAGTCTTTTTGTTTTTGGAAATAGTCATTCTAGTTAATATTACATCACCTT